CCTGCCAAACTCCAGCTCCGCTTCTGCGGCTTTTGAAGTTCGCTGGTCTTTCAGCGTTTTGTATAGTAAGCACTGAAAGGCATCAAATCACTCCTTTGACAGCATTTAGAAAGGGTTGGTTTGTTGAATAACCGAGTCTCTCCAAACTCCCATCTGAGAACTAGAGCATCTATAGGCGCCTTTCTGAAGGGAGCAGTAAATAGGTTGGAAATAGAGGACACCCCCTACGAGCTGCTGAGCTCCTGCCTTGCTGACTGGAGCCAGCAGGCTCTGGTTGCCATGATGGGCTGCAAGAAAAGAAAATATTTCCATTTAAAAATCCTTCAAAACAACCCCACCGATGGTATGGGCTTTTTCCCAAGCATCAAAGAACTTAAACCAGAGGATGTACAAAGTGGGTTGCAGCGCGTCGCACGGGTCTGCGGTTGCATCGGTGTGACGAGGGAGGTGGTAAAAGGGTTTTTGGGGGGTTTCCTGCTCTGTTGGGAGGGCTGGTTTTCATGATGCTGGATTTGGAAGAAGATTGTGGTGCTTTTCCGTAGATGCTTTGTTGCTGGGATTGGATTTGAGCCTGAACCCTTCTCTTCTTCTTTTCACGTCTGAAGTGACAAAGGGAGTTGTTGAGATAAAAACAATTTCCATGAAAACCTGCGATTTTCAGGCAAACATACCAGGCGGGTTTCATGGCAGTACCATGGTGAAGAGGAATAATGCAACTTGGCACGAAGCCCTTCCAAAAAAAAAAAAAAAAAAAAAAAAGTAAAAGGGGAGTGGAAACAGAAGAACCTTTGTCAAAATTAACTGCAATAAAGAAAAAGGGACTGCTGTTCCCTTGGGCTTCTTTAACCTTTTTTCCCCAATTTATTCACACGTTCCTTGACAGCAGGGCACAGCATTGTTACAGGGGGGCTGGAAAGGGAAATTGGGAGTTATCCATTTTTTAGGTTTAAAGAGCAGAGTACATGTTGTGTCCCTTGAGCCAGTATGAATAGAGACTTGGCCGTTGCCTGTGCCCACCCAATTTATTCTGTCCCCTAAGGAAACTGGGCTCTGAAATGTCACCTGGCTGCAAAACGCAGCCTTCTCGGTGGGGTTTGGGCTGTGTGTGGGAAAGGGGCTGTGGTGACACTGGGTGTGACAAGGTGGACATGCCCACAGTGGCTGGCCCCTTTGCTGGCACTGCCCTGTGCTTGCAGAAGGGTGTGGTGAAATTTTAGGTGTTGCAGTGACACTGCTGTGTCACCTGGATTTGCAGAATATGCAGTTTCTTAGGGGGATGATGTGCAGTGTGGAACCGTGCTGTCCTGAGGAAAAAATAATAAAGAAAAATAAAAATCTGTTTGGCTTTCAGGGATCAAATAATTTTTGTCTGGGGTGGATGGGTCAGGGTAGGTAAGTCCTTGTGAGCAGCATGGGGTGGGCACCTCTGTCACTGTTGGTGATGACTTGCCGCCAGAGCATCCCATTCCCAACTACTTTCCATCAAAGTAACTCCAACTTCTGTGGGCAGCACGGCCAAGGCAGCAATTGGAATAAGCTGCCCAGAGAGGTTGTGGAGTCTCCATCTCTGGAGATGTTCAAACCCACCTGGACACTTTCCTGTGCAACCTGTTGTAGGGAACCTGCTTTGGCAGGGGGGTTGAACTGGATGATCTCCTGAGGTCCCTTCCAACCCCTGTGATACTGTGATTCCACTGCAAATTCTGCCCTTCCCATAAAACAAAGCTATTTTAATTTGGAGCTTTTTTTTTTTTTTAATATATATATATATATAGTACCTGGATACCAAGTGCAATCTCAGTTATATAATTTATTGTTATATATATTAAGATGCTGCTCTTATGCAGTCACTGCAGTCAAAATACAGAGGAGAGAGAAGAGAGATAACCTTCCACCTTTTTAACCCATTGGTGAATAAGCAAAGCCTTACTGAGCTCTGTTCTAGGGACCCCTGAGATCAAACCCCCATCACTTGAAGGGCCTTGAGATCATTTCCACTCGCGCTCATGTTTTTTTGCCTTTCTTTCAGCACTATGTACTGTGCATTATATCCTGGAAACTCTACCAAATCTCGACTACCGAGGGGGAAAAGTTTAATTTCCAGTTAATCAAGGGAGTTGTGTAATACCATTTTCTCCTGGGGAACTTCCAGAAAAAAGAAAGGAGGAGAAGGAGGAGGGGGAAAAAAGGGGGGAGTATTATATAAAGCAAGTATATTAAGAGGAAATAAATTATGAATTAAAAGTGATTAGTGAACTTTTAAGGAAGAGGTCAGAAGTGCCTTTTGGACTACAAACTTTTTAAGCTTTCAGTGCTTGTATTCGGTTACAGAGTTATAACCCGGCCTTATTTGTGCAGGTGGCTGCTGCTTCAAATCCGAAGAAGGATTTTGCATTTACAATAGGTACATTGACAGAACTGGGTCAGAAAGCTACTTGGGGCAGGCTTCAGTACTGCGGACGTGGGCTCTGCTGCCTCCTGCACAGGGGCTATTCTTCCCAAAAAACGTGCTTAATTGCAGCTTGGTTGGGATGCTCTGGGAAGGGCGAGAGGAAGCTTGCGAAATTCAGCAGATTAATTTTTTTTTAAGGGACCTGATGTTGACCAGGTAACTTGGCTTTATTTTTGCTTCAAAAGCTTTACGCCTTTATTGATTTAAAAAAAAAAACCCAAAAAACAAAAAACCACAAAAAAAAAAAAAACCAGAGAATTTTGTCAACTGCATTTTGTTGGCTTGAGTTTTATATTTCCACTCGGTTTTGTTAGGATTTGGTGTGGCTGTGCAAAGAGAAGGGGCCAGGGCTTATACATGGTGGTGTTTGGGGGCAGTAAGCTGAGATAAAGAGTCTCTGCTTCATATTTTATGTATTAAAACAACACCTACAGCCCACAAAAGTTTCCTCTGGAATAAAGGTTGATGGACTGGGGCAGATTTGTTATTATATGGGGAAATATTAACAGTCAGTGGGTATCAGTGGGATGATGTGGATGAAGGGGAGCAGCAGCTCTGCTCACCCTTGCATCAATTTGGAAGAAAGTTCCCAGATTTTCCCCCGAAGAAATGGGGTGTCGTGCCCCTTTCCCACATTGTGAGCTTTGTTGGAGCTGGGCAGTGGTCCGAGCCCTTCCTCGAAGGCAGAGCCCGGAGGAGCCGTGGCGAGGGAGGGCTCCTTCCAAACCCCGCTGACCGAGAGAGTAAACTGCGTTTGCTTCATTTGTAATTGAAAACATAATAGTTGCCACAGTGTGTTTTTTCACACGATCCATTTGCCCTGAGTATTGCAGAGTTCACAGACACATTTAATTTTTTTTTCTTTTTTTTTTTTTTTTTTCTTCTCCCTCTATTCAAGCTGGGTCATCCTAGGTCAGACTTGTCATATCTGTGAGACCTTCCAAAGCACTTGGATGTGTAGAGGTGCCTCAAAAGATGCTGACATATTGGGGTTTTCACGGCATGTTGCATTTTATTCCTTGCTGTAGACAATGAGAAATGATGGCTTTGTTTCCATCATGTTTGACTGGAGCTGGCTAGGGTTCTCATCTTTTATATTCATTCTTCCCAACTTTTGCTGGTCAGCCCGTCTGGCTTAAATCTGTTTTACTCCACAAATGCAGAATTTTATATGCATCTAGGTATTGTGGCTTGGATAAGACCTTTTGTTCTTATTAATGCATTTTTTAGGTATTAAAAATATACGCACACTTTAATATAAAGCTCTTTTAATACATTCGCTCATGCCAAACTCCCAGGAGGAACAACTTAACACACTTCTTAGAATTCCCTTCTTCTCTTTCTTCCTTTGCACATGGTGTTTACCTTTGGAAATAGGTAACAGGTACTCTCCAAAAGCAGTATTTCTCCCTGCAAAAGCCATGGCAGCACTCCTGTTCATCTGGAGCTCTTGGAGCGTTGGGCTGGCACTGTGTGCTCCAGCCACATGAGGAAGCATTTCTACCGAGGTTTTGAATCCAGAGGAATTTGCAGTGTGCAAAAATAATTTGACATTTGGTTTAAAGTATCTGTGACCAAGAGCCTTTTTATAATAATATCCTCCCAGGATGGTTGGGTCAATAAGCACGTGCCAGGTTGCACAGGGCTGTGTTTACTGCAAAGGATGGGTATGTTGATGGGTTTCCACTTCTCAAACACCTCTGAAGCTTGGGGTCACCAATGTTATAGGGTTGTCCATACAGAAAATGAATGTTCTTTGCTTGCTTCTTGTTTGCTATTGCACGAGCAGGCATGAGAAGGCATTTTGCACAGTGTTCCTGAATAACCAGTTCTTGTTAAAAAAAACAACCAAAGGAACAAAACCCTGAACAAGCCAGAAAATATCATCATCTATGTCAAAATGAACCCGTGTCTGCTCACTAGGAAGTCTTCTGGACTCTCTAGCAGCTGGTGGAACGAAAAATGGTGAGGTTTACATTGAAGTTCCTTTGATTTGGCTGAAATACAACTAATAATAATAAAGTGGACTGGGATATCACCCTCTTGATAGGAAGGACACCAGACAGATTGGCGTAGATCAGTGCAGAGGTTAGTGTGAGTTACATGGAAGAACCTACAGCAAATAGAAAATGAACTAGTATCTTGTTTTTTATGAAAATCAACCTGTTGTGTCCTAGAACTTTTCCAAACAGGTCAAATCAGAGAAATACAATATATGCTGATCCTTGTTTGTAGATTCTTTAGTACTCCAAAGCAGGTACCTGTTCTACAGTAAAGTCTGGGGTTTGTTTGTGTGTTTAGAGAATTGTCTACCCATATGCATCTGTGTAGCTGAGAGTAGTGGAACTGTAATAGAGTTGGATGGGCATCTGTTTTGCAAACACAGATATTAGATGTGTTTCCAAAATACAGGTAGATGCACAGAGCAGTCTTCTTCACTTTGGTCCCAGCAGTCCAGAAACTTAAATAAGACTGAGCAGGTAATAAAATACAGAGTTGAAAGTACTCTTGGGTTTCTGATGCTAGCCTAGTTGTCTCTTGCGACTATATGGACATCAAGTATCCAGATTCAGTCAAAAAAACATTAGAAAGGAGGCGCATCACTGATACTTTCAAGACCTTTGAAAAAAGCAACATGAAGGGTTTGGCTACCTCTAGGCTGTGGATCAGGTCCCTGGAGATTATTTTTTGGTTGACCAAGTTCCTCCCCCTCCTTCCTCCACCCATTTTGTTGGTGCTGGTGCAGAATCTGGCCCTATTGTCATTGTCAGCGTATATCTGATGTGATGGAAATGTGGAAACACTTCTTTTCTTTGTATTATTAAATTTTATCTGTAATGTCAATTGCTTTCAAGAGTTGTTCAGTCTTGCAGCAGCTGTCAAGGCTGATCTACAGTGCTGCAATTCTTCTCTAAAAGTTGGGAAGCCTACTTTTAAAGCCCCAATAAAAGCCTACCTTAGGCTAATCTAGTTTTTATGCATTTTAAAATATGTACAAATATTGTAAACTAAATAAGGTTTATATGTACCCAAGATTAGCCACTAAGTACTTCAAATAGAAAGCCCATCACTTGTAGGTACCCAAATATTTACAGAGTGTGTCTTGAATGAGGAATTAGATGACCTGCTCAGCCCTGCCAAATTATTTAATGGTCTTTTTCATTTATTAAGCTCGATGTCTAATCTACCGAAACCTTCAAAACACGCCCAGGGCCTGGACACTGGCAGCCAAACACATCACAGAGTGCTTTTTAGAAATTACTATTGCTTTGTTGAGATAGCCAGCAACATCCCACTGACCTGCAGGGTTGAAAGAAGAAGGATTTAGTGGGGGGAAAGAAAACCCAGCCTCCATCAAAACCAAGCATTTTTTTTAAAAAAAAAAAAGAAAAAAAAGAAAAAAAAGATGGTGATCGATGACAGTGTTTAATTTAGTGCAAAGGTGAAGGTTGGGCTGGGAAGTTGAGAGCTGCATGGGTGGGTCACTGCAGAAACGCCTCTCCCACTCCATCCGTGGTTTTTCCAGTGGGTGGCCAAAAAA